GATGTTTTATTCCCTTTCCATTTAATCATCAATTTTTACAAACATCTTTTGGAAAACAGTGAATTATGTGCTCATTTCAAATATTTTTCCACCTCTTGTATGTACAGGCTGGTGGTCCAGTGAAGAAAGGGAAACCGGCTTCAGCAGGTGGAGTAGGAAATACTGGAACAAAAGCCAAAAAGGGAACTGAAGTAAAAGAAATATTTGAGCCAGAACTCTCAGTAAGTGAATTCTGTGCAAATTGTGTATTTAAAAATACTTCAAAAACCAATGACGGTCTTGCTCAAAATAGTTGTTACTCAGTTACATGTGCATGAGATTTGGTGTTTCATTTGGAACATTTTTATTTCTCTAGTATTTTACGTTACATTAGATTTCACTTGCTCTATAAATCTTAGGAGTGTGCTGATATAAACCTAGGGGGCATGTTTTCCTGCAGGAATTCAAAATGATTGCAATTGACGTGATAGTAGGAATGTGAACAAACTAGAAAATGTTATGTTTCGAACCTTGAACAAAACATTGCACCCTGGGAGTTCTGCCACACTGTTTCAGACTGGTCATGGTTCGGCAGAACAAAACACGGAACATTTTGTTGTGAGTTTTGGAGGAAACAAAATCTGAGATTCCAAATGATTTTATTGGGGCAAGTAAGGGTGGTATGCACTGCCTGCGCACTCCCTTCCCCCTATAGCCGTTTTCTATGCAACATATCCCCACAGCCTGTCCAAACCCAATTTTTCCAGCAGCTTTTCTCTCCTTCAGCCTCTGTGTCTACTGTCCTTGCTTTTTCATGTCGTTTCCCATTTTCCAAATCCATTCAGCCTGAGGCAACCACATTTCCATCTATATGCAAAAAAATAATAATAATCCCACTTTGTCCATGCGTTCACTAATGCACCCAAAACACACATGCTTCAGGAACAGCCTGGGCTACAACAAATTGGCTGATCTATGCACCGCATGGTTCATGCCTAGAACATTTTTCACATATCCCATTGGCAGAGAATGACTGGCCCATTTGCCACTTGTGGTTCAACATCTCAAATGTATTATTTCTAAAACTAGAGTCAGTATTTAAACTTTTGCCTAATGTAAATGTCAAATTATTGGTCTTCATATGAATATGAATTTATATTCATAACGGGAAAAGTGCTACGTATTGTATAGCACAGGGGTAGGCAACCTTGGCTCTTTTATGACTCGTGGACTTCAACTCCCAGAATTCCTGAGCCAGCATGGCTCAGCATGGAAACCTCTCCCTTTCCCCTCAGTATGGCTGGCTCAGGAATTCTGGGAGTTGAAGTCCACGAGTCATAAAAGAGCCGAGGTTGCCTACCCCTGGTATAGCAGTTCAGCAGAATCCTTGAAGGAAGTATCTCAAGTCTGAGGAGAACAGTGCTGTAGAATGAAGTCCATTTTTAAATAAAGTGATATGTGTACATGCCCACATGGCACGGCTGTTCCATCATTCAAGAGGCTAGTCACAAGCAGGAAAAAATACATTGGGTTTAAAAATTACTGATAGGCACTATATGCATATATCTATGTGCTCTGAGGTAACAGATTTCCTTTGAATCCAGGTTGCTGTGTGGTAGCGAACCTGATATAGGTCAAAATGCCAAATAGCCAGATGAAGGCATATTGGGAATGTACCAGTAAGCTATTAACAGGCATGTCATTTTTCTTTTGTTAATAGATAGAGATGTGTGAGGAGAAGGCTTCGGCTGTCCTCCCAGAAGTTTGCATACAGCAGTTAGATAGTGGCAATTGGAAGGAAAGGCTGGCTTGCATGGAAGAATTTCAAAAGGTAATAATGACAAGATCTTCTAAAATATGTCTCACCCCTATAAATATTTGTTTGTTCCATAGTAAGTTATTTTGGCAGTTCGCAGAAGCCTTTAGTGTCAGACTGTGTTTTATGACTTTTCAGATTATTCTGGGTACTGCAAGTTTGTTAGACCAGATCCTTTTTTAAAATACATTAAAGATTTAATTTCTGTAAAATCTGCACTAGTCAGTTTCATACAGGGAGGCATCCAATTAACAATGGTTAATTCTTACTGTTGAAAAATAAGAATTGGTTCAAACATCCTATCACTTTCACATTTCTCTTCAGAAAACCAGAATAAAGTTTCTAAAATAAAGACCACGGTATCATGCTGCGGCGTCTCGGTGAGTTAGGAGTGGGAGGCACTGTTCTGCAGTGGTTCTCCTCCTTCCTCACCGACCGTACGCAGTCTGTATTGGCAGGGGGACAGAGGTCGACTCCTAGGCCCCTAACTTGTGGGGTGCCTCAGGGGTCGGTCCTCTCTCCCCTATTGTTCAATATTTATGTGAAGCCGC